GCTGTGAGCCTACTGCTGTGAAGAATTTCCTGGTGAAACAGAGCTAATTGTTTTGCCTTTGTTGTTGTTGTTGTTCAGTCGCACAGTCAAGTCCGACTCTTCGCGACCCCATGGACCAGATCACACCAGGCCTTCCTGTCTTCCGCCGTCCTCTGAAGTTTGCTCAATTTCATGTTCATTGCATCTATGACACTGTCTAACCATCTCATCCTTAAAGAGCACCAAAAGTTAAAAAAAAAACTTCCGGGTATGAAAAAAAAATCTCCTCTGGCAAATGGCTAAGGAAGGGGGAAAACCTATCATTCCAGTAGAAAACTGGTCAGCTGTTATGTCTAAGTGCACCTCATGGAAAGAAATGAAAGTTACAAAAGAACAGAGTTGTGTGGCGTTCCATTCAAGTTCAGTGAGGTATGTGTGGGAGAAGTTTAAGTGGATCATGCTTTGATAAACAGTTGGTGTGGCTTTGGTAGCATGACTTACAGATGTACTGTATTTTTTTAAAAAAGTCTTTAGGCATATAAATAACAGATCCTGCTTTTATTGTATATTATATTGTATATTTTATTAATGGCTTTGACTCAGCTGCTGTGCTAGTGGTGCTTAGAAAAGGGGTGGGGACAAATTTCCTGAAACTGTAACGTGAGCTGGATTTTTAGAGCTTGTCTGTGTCTCCTTTACACTCAACATGTAAAGTAATGGTAGACATTAGAGGACGGTTTTGAACCAGTCCCATCAATGAAGCTGATGCATGGGACATGGGACATTCATTTTCTGGAGCCATCAAACCCTCCTCCCCTTCCCACTATTGCAGAAAATGTGCTGTCAGATGTGAATAAAATCAATTATGAGGTAAAATTGCCTGTTTCAAAAGCTTCATTTTGTGCCATTAGCAAGCAAAAAGGACTTTGATACAGAGTTAACAATAAAAAAAGATCAATTATTGGATAAGATCACAATTTTTTTGGTGTCAGAATGATTGTACACATTTTGCATCTCTCTGTACTACATGCAGGTTGAGATCAAAGAGGCTGTGCTTCTGTAATGATGTGATTTTATCAAGGACTCATTGTATTCACTTCCATAGAGCAGGGACAAAGCAGTTGTGTGCAGCAGAATGAAAGGACAGGTTGACTCTTCAGCGAATGAGAGAGTGATGAGTAGCTGTAAAAGGCTACTGCTCTAGACTGAGAACATGCAGCTATGCAGGGGTCATTTCGTAGAAAAAGAGGTGCAGGAGCTCATTAGCATAACTCAGTCATTAGCATAACTTATTTGCATATGCCACATCCCCTGACATCACTGGAAGTATGTCAGAAGGCAACACCCACTGCTCAGGCTCCACTGGTCTGTTTTGGGTTGGTAGCTATTGCGGGGAGGGGGAATGTGCAGATCTGTCCTCGCAGAGGAGGGAGAGCTTGTACCCAAATAAAACTTGGTCTTAAAGGTGCCACTGGACTGTTTTGGACCGAGGGGGGGGGGCTCTGCAACTTACCTGGCTGCTTCATGCTCTGACTGAGGGCTGCTGGGAGCAGGGGGTGGGGCTTGTTGCATGTGCCCACCTCCTGGGTGCTTTACTGCCGGAGCTCTGCTCCTGTGCGCTCCTGCAGGAAATGACCCCTGGTAGGGGGTATCCTCAGCTGGTGGGGCGTGCCGATTAAGCATAACTAAAGCTACAATTCCCAGGCTGCATCCTTTTATTTTCCACTTAATCAAGAATAAACCTCATGTACTCTCCTGTATCTCTACACCAGCGTAAGACTGCTGTAATATTGTTGTGAATACTTGTTGCTATCACAACCTGTTTAGGAGTGCTCTCCAGGTTTTCAGGTTGTACATCTTTATGTTACCATCAAGCCCACTGTCAAGAAATTAGACCTTTAGTCAATTTCTTGATTGTTCATTAACCATAGGTAAGCCTTATATTAAACTCTGGGTCTGTAAGTGGGCTGAAGTGACCAAATGGGACAATAACTGATTGTTGATATGGAAGAGTGAGTTGGCAATCAACCTTGTGACCTTTGAATAGCAATTCAGGTATAAAGACAAACCATTTATTTACCAGGCTAGGAATTGGCTCCAATGCACCCTTAACTGATGTGATTTCCACTACACAAAAGATTGGTTAGATTTCAGATAACCCTGCCATCCCGTCTGGGGTTGCTAACTCCTGGTTGGGAAATACCTGAAGATTTTTAAGTGTGGGTGGGTTTTGGGGAGGGGAGGGACATCTGCAGGGTATAATGCGATAGAGTCCACCCTCCAAAGTAACCGTTTTTTCCAGGTGAACATAACTCCCTCATCTGGAGATCAGTTGTAATTCCAGAAGATCGCCAGATCCCACCTGGAGGTTGGCAACACTAATCCCATCATAAAGTCTCTCTCTCTCTCTCTCTCTCTCTCTGTGCCCCCCCCCATTTGTTGTAACAGGTTCATATCAAAATAATTTCCCTGGTCCGATCTTTGATTGGGCAGATGAGCCTCCTGCCTTCTCAGACCTTAGGCCTTAAAACAGATAGTTTCCTGGTCTTTGTTGTAGCTGTAGCTGCTCACAGCTAACACAAGGTATGATGAGCTAACCTCGGGATGGACCAGGCTCCCACCTGGCCCAATGCTCTCTGGACAGAGAGGCTTGGATTACTGCTGACTGACTTCAACCAAGAAGGGCAACTCTAAAGCAATGTCCTACTATGTAGCTAGAAGTTTAAAATATAGCTTATTTGTTTAATTCCTCTCTGCTATGTTCTTTTGAAATATTCCTTTACTCTTTAATAAATATCTTTTGCTTATACTTGGGTGTTCTGCACTTCAAGTGCTTCTATCTAATTTCAGTACCTTACACATAAAGTCCACCTACCAAGTTAATTATAGTGGAAACTCATTATGCAAGTAGCCTACATTGTAGGTTTGACTTTCTTAATTCCCAGTAAGACTAGAAGCTTGTGACTGTGTGAGTAGTTCAAGGGGATGGTGGCAGACTACCAAGACTGGGACGTGTGTGGACACATACCCCAGGGTTTTGTAATTCTGTGCTCTGCTGGACCATACCAGGAATTCCCTGGACTGGGGATTCTTGACATCCACAACTTAATGTTACCATCTCCTTAGATTTTGTATGTCATGTTGCAAATATATCTGAACACATGTACTCCATAACATGAAAGGCCTAACTGCTAGAGGGTACCAAGTTTGTTATTGCTTCTAATAAGTTTGGTTGTATAGCATTTTTTTCAAGACCCTTTGGCAGCCCTAAATAAGGGCAAATTTTTAATCACACCATCATTCATGTCCAGCAAGTCAATCAGGGACCACTTAAATTGCTCTGCATTAGATGGCCATCCCTGCTCTGTGCTAAAGCTGAGTTAGCATAAGGCATGTTCATCACTCCACAATTCCAGAAGTATAGCTAAAGAGAAACTTTTTTTTTAAAAAAGTCCCCCCCCCCTTCCCGCAAGTCTTTTTAAAAAAATCAGTTTCAGTTTGTGGTGTCAGTTTAAGCAGCTGAATTTTCAGACTGTTTCATATTAATTATTGGTACATTTTAAGTGTTTAATAATTTTCATGAGTGTTGATTATAGACCATATAAACTGTTTTGACCATGGGATACCAGGAGATACAAGCAAACAAACAATGTTCACCAAAAGAGAGAGAGAGAACATGACTTTCTGGGTTTCCCAATGAGGCAGAGTGGAGTACCAGATCTGCAGTGCTATTCTAAGCAGATTTATGCCCATGTTAAACCCATTAGCTATAGTGGGCTTAGAAGGGGGTCATTCTGCTTGGGGTGGCTCTGTTACCAATAGGGTTGCCAAGTGGAAAAATCTTCTTACCGGGGGACTGCAGGTCCGCGGCGTTATGACACCGGGCACACTGGGGGCGGGGCCACAACCATCCGAGGGAAAACCATAGCGTTTTCCCTCGGATGACCCTGGCCCCGCCCCCAGCATGCCCAGCATCATAACATCACTTCCTGGTGACGCACATGCCAGGGTGGGGTTCCCCCTGGGGCCTGATCCGCCAGCGGTGGGGGTCTGGGGCGGGGGTTACCAACATGTATTATATTTTCAGTTGGTCAGTCTGATTCCAGAAAACAAGATAGTTTTTGGAGGCCCTGCTTCAGGTTTCCCTGCCTTCTGAGATTAGGCAGGTGGCAGTCCAAGAGAGGGCCTTCTTGGTCAGGACACCATATAGCTCTGGAACTCTTTTCACAGAGAGATTTGTCTGTCCCTTTCTGCTGCCGTCTTTCATCAGTGGTGAAGACTTTTGTATGTTCTTTGAAATTCCCTCAAAGATCCCTCCTTCCTGCTCAATGTTTTAATGACGTGTTTATGTTTTGTATGTATTTTAACTCTGTTTTTAATTGTTTTAATTGTGTGGTTTTTTTGAGGGGTGATTTTAATGGTTTTAAAAACTTATTATATTATGTGTATTTTAAACTGTGTTACACACCTTGCTTGCCCTTGTAAGGGCTGAAAGATGGGATACAAATTTTGTAAATACATATATAAACATTCAAAGAAAGCAAATGCTCGTTGCCAGCTACCCATGAGCCCAGATCTACACATGCAACAAGAATGAATTGACAAGCTTTTGAGGCAGCAGAGTGGACTGTAGCATTTCAGACTCCAGATCAGTGATACAGTTTTTAATGCTGTCCATCTTAACACCTCCTTGCAAGTAACCCCCCCCAACAACTAGTACAAAGTAAAACAATCAATCTAGCAAAGGGTGAAAAATGCTAGCCTTGCCCACTCCCACCTTTGATAGTTAAATTCTTATTTTCATTTATTTTTATTTTAAATTCAAAGCATCTCTACTTTCCCTTTATTTTAAATGTAATGGCTTGCTAAAAATGGTATCTCCCACTTGTAGGCTGACATGACAGGCCACTCTGCTAAGACAGGATTCTACCACCTCATTCCCACCTCGTTCTGCTGCATGGGAAGATATGACATGTCAGAGGGATATATCAATAATGTCCTGTTATTATTGTTCTGATTAGCATCCCTGTTTGTGCATCAGCAGGGCTCTGATATTGATTGGGATGACCTCTGGGATCAGTTTGAAGAAAGAAAGTACCTGAGTGCCCGGAAATGGAAGGGTGGAGAGGATCCATATCGGCTGTATGCTTTCAACCAGAGAGAAAGCGAGAGAATTCCCAGTGATCGCGCCATTCGTGACACTAGACACCACAGGTTCCACATTTTTTCTTCTTGCTTTTTGTCATGGGGAATGTGCAGTGATAATGTGAAGAGGACCTGAGTGTGCCTTAATCAGTGTAGTGTGATTCAAATACTCCATGTTTTAATGTAAACCTCCAGGTCTTTGTGTAATTTTTTTTGCATAAGGAGTCTGTGAGCAAAATCAGTGTTTTTCTTAATGTTATTATTACTTTAGATCCTATGTGTCTATAAATAGAATCACAATACTTGTGCTCCAGGGGCTTACTGACACTTCCAAAACTCAGATGTTGTAGGTATGGATGGGCACGAACCACATTTTTGTGATTTTGTTCATAGTTCGTGATAGAACCATGAATGCATATGAACGGGGAGGTTGGTTTGCAAGCTGAACCAGTTTGCATCATTTTGTGAGCCAATTAAAGTTTAAAACCCTGCTTTCTGCTCCCCGTGGCTTTTTGCGGGGACCAGAAAGCAGGGGTTTAAATGGCTCTGAGCAGGGTGCCATTTAAACCAAACAGATGAATGGCAGGGAGCTCCCCTTTGTGTGGTAGTCCCCCTATTTCCCCTTTGTGTGTTAGTGCCCCATTTATGGAGCTCTCACCCCAGAGATGTTAGCTGGTATTATATTTGCTGTTTTTTAGACCACAGAGCAAATTTTCTCCTGTTTGTTCATACTTCCTTTCTTACCCCTTGTTTTTGTGTTTTTTTATATATGTGCTATGAATTAGCTAGATTTATTTCATATTATGTCTTCATGGGTTTTTTTTATTCTGTACTGGATTTTAAATATAGTAATAATTTTGATTTCATTTACTGTTACTGTGAGCTGCCTTGAATTTCTGTTATACAGAAAGGAAGCATACCCAATTTAAAAATTAAATAAATATGAATTCCATTGAGCCTAAACAGCAGCAATCAGAAAGTAGTAGGTGTGTCAGAAATGTGTGGGTGGTGGGTCAGATGATGTCTATTTGCTGGCCAGAGGGCAACTAATTGCCAGCCAGAAGTGATAGGATGTGTGGTATTTTCTTTTACTTGTTCATTAACTAACTTACTTCTAGAACTGTAATATGGCCCTTGGCCAGTCAGAGTTAGCAGGGATACTAATCAGGGCTGCCTGCACAATCCTTTCTATTGCAATAAGCCAGCAAGGGGATGGAAAAGAACCTTATAGTAAAAGGAGATCAAATCACAGCCCAGAAAATGAGCATCACTCATACCATCCCTGACCTGGATGGCCCAGGCTAGCCCAATCTTGCTGAATCTCAGAAGCTAAGCAGGGTTGACCCTGGTTAGTATTTGGATGGGAGACCACCAAGGGAACTCAGGGTTGCTATACAGAGGCAGGCAGGCCATGGCAAACCACCTCTGAGTGTCTCTTGCCTTGAAAACCCTACAGAGGTCACTGTAAGTTGGACAGAACTTGAGAGTACTTTCCACCACCACCATATTCCATTGCACAATCCATTGGGTCTTAGAGTCAGTGGCTATTAAGAAACCATAAGAAACTAGTGGCCATTAAGGAACCATAGGGCTGCTCAAAAGCTGTAAGACTTGACGCAGGTACAGATGCAGCCACATCTGGTGGAAGTCTGGAAGATCTTTGAAGTAAAGGCTATTTCATACCTAGGCTAAACCAAGCAGGAGGTGGTCTTGTCTCCTGCAACAAAAATAGTTAGAACTAGCCGGTTTTGGCTCCTCGCTTGACGGGCGCGCTCTGATGGGGCTCCATACAGGGCGACCCATTCCGCGGCAGATAGGAGGGGAGTCAACCGTTGCCAGCTCCCCCTGGAACTCTTGGTGAGAGCTCCAAGCCAGGGGGCTTGAGTAGTGCCGCTCCCAAGGCAGATGCCCCAAAGGTCCTACTGCCGCGGCGCCATTATGGCTTCCAGAGGCACACACCGGGCAAGCATTCGGGAGTTTTAGCAAGAATGCAAGACATCTCGCCATATAAGCGATACTGGAAGAAATGTGAGTGATCCTACAGTAAGCACATGAACTTTTAAATGGGCTGACACCCCCCACCAGCGATAGGGGAAGGGAGGAGCATCATCTGAGCAAATTTGGATGTGTCTGATTTGCGCAACTGTACAGTTTTCCATGCACAATTAGACTTTCTTGCCTCTGCTGCCACCCATCACTTGTCAGCTTCTGCGACTGCCTATGATTTTAAAAAGGCATGTGATAGGGGGGGCGGGATGAACTTTTGGGTTAAGACTTAGCCCTTAGTGTGTGCTTGTGCCTTTGTTGTCAGCCTATGAACCCAGCTAATTTTACAATTGCTTCTTGAGCTGAAGCTGCTGATTGCACAGGTACAAAACACAGGCAATGCAGCCTAAATAGTGTTGGTCATTTGTGCATCGGACTGCTTAGGTGCAAAGATGGCACAAACTACAACTTGGTCAAACCACTGCAGCCTTCAAGGAAATGGCTTCTTTTCTGGAAATGAGACTATTGAGTTGGACTGGGCAACATTAGCCACGAGCTGCTGAGACCAAGCAGGTACCCTACAGGCACTAAGTTGTTTGGCACAATGCGATACATGAACTTCATCAGGGAACCTCAAGGTGGTCCAATCAGGAGCTCACCTGACATGTAATTGTAGGAGTTCAAACAGGTAGATTTGCCTGGCAGACACGTTCATCTCAGAGCTCTTAGCATGGCCTCAGCTCCTACTCCTGAACAGGCATCGGAGTGAGAAAGTATGCAGATTAATGCTTCACCTGTCTTAATTTTGGAAGAGATAATTGGTTTAAACTTAAGCCAAACCTGGGGGATATCAATTAAGACATTTCTGAATGGTTGGTGTATAAAACCAAATGTGTGATCCAAATCCACTCTATATCTTTCCCTCAAATTAGTGTGAATGTCATGGCAGGAGCTGATGTGTGCTGGAGATTATTGAACTGCTGCTTAACTGAGTGCTGCTTGTTAAATACTGGGTTCCATGGATGGTCTGACCCCAAGCTTAGTTATCAGCTCTGCTTTATTAGTGATTCAGTCAGAACAATGCAAAGACCCAGGAATTGGGACCAGCAGCACCCAAGCTTTCCAAAGCAAAAATTGACTCTGATAAAGATAAGAAGAAGGGAAGAAAGAACAAGAAGAGAATGTAACTGATATGTACTAATCTGAAGGGTTTAATATGATATTCACTTGCTCAGAGCAAATACATAAATTTTAATTTCTTAATTTTTGTTTTAAATGGAGAAGAAACTTCACTCATGTATGATATATTAGGAGAAACTTGAATAAGCGTTTATTATCAGCAATATATATAACTCCTGTTTAGCTTTTCTTTTAGTCTATACTGTCCTATCCCCTGTAGTTTGTTAGTGTTTACCCATCCTTTATTTCTATGTAGTGTGTAATATAAAAACAATGAAAAATTTATATTAAAAAAATAGTTAGAACTAGTAATGCTCAAACACCTGCAGATTTGGCTCAAGACTTGCAGTGGTCTGTTTGGATGCATCTGAGCAAATTTGGATGTGTCTGATTTGCGCAACTGTACAGTTTTCCATGCACAATTAGACTTTCTTGCCTCTGCTGCCACCCATCACTTGTCAGCTTCTGCGACTGCCTATGATTTTAAAAAGGCATGTGATAGGGGGGGCGGGATGAACTTTTGGGTTAAGACTTAGCCCTTAGTGTGTGCTTGTGCCTTTGTTGTCAGCCTATGAACCCAGCTAATTTTACAATTGCTTCTTGAGCTGAAGCTGCTGATTGCACAGGTACAAAACACAGGCAATGCAGCCTAAATAGTGTTGGTCATTTGTGCATCGGACTGCTTAGGTGCAAAGATGGCACAAACTACAACTTGGTCAAACCACTGCAGCCTTCAAGGAAATGGCTTCTTTTCTGGAAATGAGACTATTGAGTTGGACTGGGCAACATTAGCCACGAGCTGCTGAGACCAAGCAGGTACCCTACAGGCACTAAGTTGTTTGGCACAATGTGATACATGAACTTCATCAGGGAACCTCAAGGTGGTCCAATCAGGAGCTCACCTGACATGTAATTGAAGGAGTTCAAACAGGTAGATTTGCCTGGCAGACACGTTCATCTCAGAGCTCTTAGCATGGCCTCAGCTCCTACTCCTGAACAGGCATCGGAGTGAGAAAGTATGCAGATTAATGCTTCACCTGTCTTAATTTTGGAAGAGATAATTGGTTTAAACTTAAGCCAAACCTGGGGGATATCAATTAAGACATTTCTGAATGGTTGGTGTATAAAACCAAATGTGTGATCCAAATCCACTCTATATCTTTCCCTCAAATTAGTGTGAATGTCATGGCAGGAGCTGATGTGTGCTGGAGATTATTGAATTGCTGCTTAACTGAGTGCTGCTTGTTAAATACTGGGTTCCATGGATGGTCTGACCCCAAGCTTAGTTATCAGCTCTGCTTTATTAGTGATTCAGTCAGAACAATGCAAAGACCCAGGGCAACGGCCGTGTTTAAATAGCATGCAAACACCACCCAAACAACTACTAACGATAGGCTATTGTCACCTCCAGAGTCCTGGTGGGCTATTGTTCTAGAGCTCCAAGCTCAGCCAGTCTATGGTAAAAACAGTCCTGGAATGTTCCAGTCCCAATACATAACACTGCTGAAATTATTTTATTCGTGTCCCTACTGATGCCAGATGCTGTTTCCTTCAGACGGAAGGTGACAGCCTTGATGGGTGTCAGTTAACAGTTGAGAAACGAATATGTCCTTCTTAGAGAGAAATAACAAATGCAAAATCTACCATCTGCCCTATTAAAGAATGAAGTAGATTTAACTGTGCTCTCATTTCATTTTCTCTCTCTCTTTCTTGACCTGGGTCACTTTGTTATCTTTGTGTGTGGTGGATGTCTGTGGGGCTTGATATCAAATTTGGAAAGAATTCTCTTTCACACACACACACACACACACACACACACACACACACACACACACAGAGAGAGAGGGGGGGGCTAGTACAGGCTGATTCTCTCTCTTGTTTCCATAATGCCATAATTGGGTTCT